AAATTTAAAAAGTTCAGAGCCATCCATGGCATATTGAGAGGAAATAAATATACCAGTAGTTAGTAAAACATATAATTCATAATAAAATGTACAATAAAGTCCCAAGAAAATATGACAAATATACACGTATATACGCAGCTCCATATTACACTTAAAAAGATACACCTATCTGTGAGGTCAAAGACCTAGTACAGTACCTAGAACTTAAGCAGAGAAACTTGAATCTCGCATGACTAGAGCATCAGGTACGATCCATAATAATGAAAAGCAATGACAAGATGAGTATGTAACCAATTTAGAGGTGCTTTTGCTAATCTAACTTGAGTTACCTGCACAGAGTCAAGATCTTAACATCTCTGGTATGAACTGGAACATGAGTCAGGTTTAAATATGTAACAGCAGTAACCCTTATGCCACTTGTTCAACAGATGTTCAAACATCACATGGAAGTCTGCATCAGACAAGAGAACTTAACAGTGGCACAACCACATCTAAATGCCCATGATTATATGAAATACAGTCTGTATAGATATTTCTCATTGCAATGATTTATAATGTGTCATCAGGAATGTCCGTGTGTGGAGAGAGTTGAGGATTCTTCTCTGCTGCCTGTCAATGTGGAGAGGAAAGTCACTCTGGTGGGGCAACATCTAAACCTGTTTCAGGTAATGTAACCATCCTTAGGGTCAACAGCCCCTTGCCTTGGTAGAACGGGACTACATTGAGGTGTATTCAGGCAGGTTAATCACATGATCTATGAACATGAAAGCATATCCATCGTATAGCTTCAGCTTAAAGTGTCAAGGCTGGGGATTTGTTTTATGTTATCATCAAGTCTTTTCACCAGCAGAGAGCAGCTTTGCAAACATATTCTGAAAAGATATGGGTACATTTCCTGCTCAGTTTATAAGGATATAAAGGCTCATATTAAAAGCTCTACTCCTCAGGGGGTTTTGATGCATGCTGCGATTTAGGATAGATTTTCACTGCCATTACAAAAAGGGATTTATTGTATGAAGACAAATAGCAGCTTTTGCTACTAATGTGTGTGTCTGTGTATTCCAATGTATGTGGTGTGTACATTTAGGATGAGAATTTGGACTACGAGTGTGTGTTGGACGTTGAGAATCAGTCAGTGGTGGTGGATGCCTCTGTGGAGCCAGATGCCACGCAGCAGACAGTCTTCTTTATCACCTGCCAACCCCACCAGGTCAGAAAATACCTCAATATGGTGATTTATCTCAGTGTGCTGAACCTTTTAGTGTCTGGAAATAATTGGCACCATGCACCGGTCAGTTTTGAGATTTTGGGTTAATTTGCTTCCATTTTTATAGAGGGAATTATGTAAAAACCTCTCTTTTTATCAGATGGAGAAGTGTTTACATAATCCCCTCTATAAAAATATTTGAATGTCAATAAAATTACACAAGAATTTTGAGTCTGTCTTCATACAATGCTCAGATCTCTGTTCTGGAAATGTATGCAAACTATAGATTTTTTTAATTTATTTTTTTAATTTTAAACTTCTAATAAAAAATTATTGTCCTGGGGAAGTTAATGGTGATACCTCTTAGTTAAAACACAGTGTCTCCCCTTACATATTCCTGACTTAATAAGCAACTATCAGTTACAGAAGAAGAAGACACAAAAAACAACATGGTGGTGATTTGGTCAGATTGGACAAACACTGCTAGTAACATACTGTAAGCAAACAACCCCACAACTGATTCAAATACTGCAACAGTGATCAGAACCACAACACAAATGCACAAATCTATAATAAGCAAAATATTTAATAATTTCTAGTAATAAGCATACATAGACAGTCACCACTGTGCAGCAGCAATACAAGGATGTATCAACTTTCTCTGACCTAATCTTATGGATTAAACCACACCCATCTAGTACCATTCATAATGACTGTAAATCACTATAAATCAACAAAAAGAAAGGTCGCAGCTAACACCAATAAACCAATGGCATGCCATGTTAACAAAAATCAATAAACTGCCGTCTCCTGATTATGTTCTTTTGTGTTTCCAGGAGTATTTTTCATTTGTTCTTATAACCAGATAATTTGACACATACTGTCACTGAGTGTGCACATCATAATCTCATAAAACATATTACAAGTAGTGATTATGCTGGTTTGACTGTTAATTATGTTTCTTGTTTCAGTACGCCTATTCTTCCAAGATGGAGGAATACGCAGCTATGATCAACGTGAGGAGAAAGAACAACTTCCTTATCGACAGCGCCGAGGATCTGTATGGTGAGGAGTGAGGAGTGTGTGTCAGCCGTGTGTGTGTGTGTGTGGGAGATGTGAGACAATCTGATTACGTACAGTAGTGGGTAGATACTGTATAGTTTATTTGACATTAAGATAATGTCATTTACTCACAGACTTCCCCTATTCTGCCTTGTTTCAGTGACTCTGTTCAATTGTTCCGTGGGGCGGTCGGACTGCAGCCGATGTCGCACGGCTGACCCCAAGTATGGCTGTGTCTGGTGCGGCGGTGCTGCGAGCTCTCGCTGCGTGTACCAGGACTCCTGCACTGATGAGATCCAGCACACCTGTCCTGCACCTGTCATTCACTTTGTAAGAATTTACCCTGTTTGGAACACTTTCTAAGGATTCTGTTTGCAGTAGAAGAAATTAGAGAAAAGGCTGGAAGTTCCTAATGGTTTTCTTTTTGTGTCTGGCCTTTTGTGTTGGAAAACGTCAGTGTGAGAAGAGAAAGATACAATGTGAATTGTCATCTTGTTTCGACTAAAGGACTTCTTTTAGCTCAGTTGGGTTGATTTTCAAACCTAAAGGTTACACAAAATTCACTTGCCACCAGATGTTGCACTTAAGCATCTCTAACCAAAACTAATGGGCGCAATGGCCAACCGGACTCCATTGACAAAATCAGTAATTTCACCTAGATGTAAACAAAATAAAATTCACACCAAAACCGTCTTTGTTAGTCTTTCCACAGTTTTTCCAACTATCACTATTGGGTTGAAATAAACCCTTAATTCACAGAGTTAGATGAGCCACAAATGGCTGCCATGTAACATTAGCTAATCCTTGGGGACAGATGCGCCCGTCAAAGTATGTCCATTAAAAGGGCTTGTTTATTGCCACTGACAGTCTCAGATTGTGTCTGGAAACATTATGGGAAGGATCCCTGCAGATATAGACCTTTTGCTTAACCAGAAACAACTGTAATATCGCTAATACCAGACGCTATTGACAAAAACTGTGATTTTGCCTCACATATCATCCTTACATCATAACTTCATTTAAATTGGTGTGACACCAGGACTCCACTATATCACACAGCAAATAGCTGTATGTTGCATTTCTAATATTTTAAATCTCATATAACCTTTAATATGAACCGCTCTTTGTCAAATTTACTTTGCTCCTGTTTGGTTCAGTTATTATTGTCCCAAATGAAAATTGTACTGGCAAAAACACATGTATGAAAACAGACTCATCTATCAACTCCTCTTCATTCTAAGAGATGTGGAAGACATGCAACAATGGTCCCAACAATTCTTAACCCTCAGTTTGTATTCAGTCAAACTGCACAATACTGCATTAAACCATACACCCAGTTCCATACATTGTATTGAACCATGGGCTGACTGTATCATTATGTCACACTGTCATGGTATCTAAGGCATTATGTCTTCTTGTGTTTCAGTTGGATCCGGTATCCGGCCCAGTAGAGGGAGGGACAGTAGTGACCATTTCAGGCTCTAACCTCGGCCAGAGAGCTGAAGACATCCAAAACTCAGTGACAGTAGCCGGGATCCCCTGCAGTGTCATCCACAGCAGATATGAAGTGTCCTCAAGGCAAGTTATTGGTACACCTGAACGCAAAAATCTTGTAAAATTAACTTGTTTTTTTTTTTTCTCCATCTTGTGTAACTATGACGGTCTTTATCTTGTAGGATAGTGTGTGAGACTACGAGTAGTGGAGGAGAGAAGAGTGGTCAGGCCTCAGTCAAAGTGAGGGGAGGAGGACTTGGGCTGTCTGCTCAGATCTTCAGCTTCCAGGTAACAGCCAGTATATATGCAGAAATCAGGTAACCTGGGTCATTTATTATTCAGAGTTCTCCCCTACCAGCAACCTTGTATTTGTCAATGAGAGCACAGCTTGTCCTCAGAGCACCAATATGAATTTTACATCACAATTTTTAGAGGTGTGAATCACTGGCCTCATGATTCAATTTGAATTTTCTATATCACTGCACATAGCTAGCGGTCAGATAAATCTGAACTCCCTTTTTTATGTAGTGCTGTGTAACTCAAGAATCACATGTAATGGCTACTCGATTAGCTTTACTAGTTTTTGTGCTTCCCAGTAAGTTCATAAAATCCAAAATGTGCCCAGATGTCCCCTTTAAATACTGTGTGCATTTTTTTTATCACTCGCTGTATTGTTAGCGCTGTGTTCACAATTCATTGCAAGTGACGTAACTTTACAACTTTATTGTCCAGCCTAGGCCGGAAAATCAACAATCATCGTTAGTAGGCTACAGTTTTGTGTAGGTTGCAAACTCCTGATTATGTTCAGTCAGTGCATCGGTGCAGAATCTTCCACATCCGCATGTTAGAGTCGAGACATTTCCACACCTCACCTAACAGTTTTACAATTTTAACTCCACATCCAACTGACATCGACTCAAGTGATGTCACTTTATTTCAATTTATCAGACTTCCTGTATCTCCCTCTGGAGCCGTGGAAGGCTTTATACAACTCCTCATTAAATCATTTGACCACAGAAAGCAGACTGTATAGTGCATATAAACCCACTGAATAGTTACACAAACTCGTGCTACACACTTTTAGCGAGCCTGCCTCTGCAGAATTTTATAATTATGCTGAAGCAAGTAAACAAGCATTTAAAAAACAAAGACATCTCTAGGGCATTTTTTTTACACCAAGCAGCAGTTACTTTGAATTCTTGCACGTTTCCCCCTGAGTTTTGGTTCAGTTACATATATGAGAACATAGTAATCGTTTGTTGGGTGTGGACCAAAACAGAGGCACTCTCTGAGAGGGGGAGTCCCCTGGGTATTTCTCTAACCCTAATCCTGAAATGCCTCATTTGCAGAATGTGATGCAAATGCGATCTGTCAGCGTTCGAATACAACTTCAGGAAGCATAAAGGAATGACTGGTTGTAACAGTCTATGGTAGCCGTTTAAAGTCTGTGTTTGTTTGTCCATGAAGAAGAAAGTGCTCTCCCACAGAAGATCTCTGAGCAATTAGGGAAATGACAGCTCGCTGCTCCAAGCTTTTGTTAATTAGTCTTCACTTGAAACTGTGCCTTATGAAATGTAAGGGGACCACTGCGATGCAATAAAGTAATAACATCGTCTCCCTGTTTACATTACAGTAAAAGGACTGTAGGTTTGACAACAGCCTTAATTAATTGGCCTAAGTGACAAGCAAATTAATTGTTATACTAGCTCGCTGTGAGGCAGCCTTCTAGTGTTTCCCAGAATGCCCTGGTGTCTCTTTTTATCTTCCCAATAAATCACAGGCTCAGTATCGGATTATTGATTATACTTTTTCTTCCTCTCATTGCATCTCATCCTTTACCTTTCTTCTTCTCTGTGTCTCTCCATCACCAGAATCCCGTGCTAAGCAGCGTTTTCCCACAAAGGGGGCCCAAGGCGGGGGGGTCGTCTCTCACCATCAGGGGCCGGAGACTGAGGACGGGACACCCGAGCGAAGTCAGCGTCCTAATCGGAGGAGTGCCATGTGTGGTGTAAGTGTCTCTAACTGACTGTGAATGAAGACAGTGAGTTATAAAAAGAACTTGAGTAAGCAGACTGGTTTATATGTGGGTTGTGAATGTAAAATGTCTCCCTCTGTTCAGGCTAAACATTCAGGAGGATCAGATCAGCTGTCTGACCAGAGGCAGCAACAGAACCGGAGAGCACGGCATCACTGTGCGGTTTGGTGGGGCAGAGCGACACCTGCAGGGTTTGGTCTATCATTACACCCCCAACCCAAACATCACAATGGCTGCTCCGTCCAAAAGCTTCCTCAGGTGCTTATCAGTCTTAACAGAGCAATCTTGGGACATTCAAGTATTTCCCATCTTCCCCTCAATTTTAACCATCTACATAATGTACATTATATAATTGCTATAATGACACTGTTCTCTTACAGCAGAGGTTTTCAAATTGGGAGGCAGGTCTCCCTGGGGCGGGGGTCCAAACAGTGTCAGGGGAGGCTCAGTGAATGGAAGTGTGAAAATATTATGGGAATGAGAGTATCCAATATGTTTGTGATTTAGTTGAAGAGAGTTCAGAGATACAGTAGTTTCATTTTACCCAGAGTCAGAAATGACTAAATGCCTTAGGGAAGACCTTATGTCTTACAGCAGTACAGTCGCAGCTCTATGTCTAGCTTGTGACCTGGATACAGTTAAAAGTTAAGGTGGACAGTAGGCAGTAATCTCTCTTAATCTAGAGGGTGTTTCTATAGAAGAAGGTAAACTCTCTTTAGTCTAGATTTATGAATGGCCAGGAAGCCTTTACTTATACTTGTGCTCAGGTGTTTAGGAGGCTAAAAGGTTAGTGTAACCTGATTTGTTTATTGAAAGATTATCAACCATGGCTTACAGCAATAGGTTGAGTCGTTATTGCTGTTTTGTTAAAATTTCAGGAAACTTTATTTAGGATCGCATTTCTTCCATACCTACTGTACACTACAGGCCAAAAGTTTGGAAGCAAGGCCAATATAGGCCAAACATTTGGAAGCAACTTCAAGTTTCTGTTCACAATGCCTTTCTTAAAAAACAGTATAAATTCTTTGGATTTTGGGAAGTATTAACTGCATGATCAGACTTTGCTTTCATTGATATGCACCATTTTCCTCAATTTACCTTTAGGTATACATTGATGTTACCAGACCATTGCTGAATAAATGTTAACAAAAGAAAACAAGGGCTTAGTTTTAGGTTTGAGAGTCACAACTTCAGTGCAAAAGTGAAAAAACAAATCACAGTTTGCATTATTTACTTTAGCTCTTTGGCTTTTGAGAGTTTGCACACAAAAATCCCAATAAATCTCAACTGTGTTCATATCTCTGAAAAACTACCACAGAAATGTCTAGAAAGAAACAGCTGAGTAAAGAAACAAGAAGAAACTGAAAGTTATGATGATAGAAAAAGGTATGGAAGAAAGCGAATCACTACAAAAGCAGAAGATAAACATATCATTGTCACAAGTAAGAGAGATCGTCGAAAAACAGAACCACAAATAACGGAGGAAATCAACATGACAAGGTCACAACCCATATCTCTCACAACTGTGAAAAGACGTTTGAGAAAGGCTGGTCTGAAGGGTTGTTTATCTGCAAAACAACCACTACTTTGTCCAAAGAACAAAAAAAAGAGATATGAGTGGGCAAAAGCACACAAAAATTGGACCTATGATGACTGGAAACAAGTTCTCTGGACCGACGAAAGCAAGTTTGACATATTTGGTTCAAATCGCAGAGTCTATATCCGCAGACAAACTTTTGAACGTCCTAAAGCACCATGCGTAACACCCACAATAAAGCATAGAGATGGTAGTGCCATGGTATGGGGATGTTTTGCAGGTGATAGAGTAGGAGATTTGTTTGAAGAAAAGGGTATCATAAAAAGGAACAGTATCACTCCATCCTCCAGCATCATGCAGTTCCATCTGGACTAAGACTTGTGGGTCGATAGTTTGTTTTGCAGCAAGATAATGACCATAAGCATTCTTCCAAGCTCTGTCAGGGTTACCTAGACAAAAAGAAGAGGAAGGTGTTCTTCGAAAGATGGTTTGGCCCCCATATTTCCCATGTTTCCCAGATGCGATCTCATATGATTACATGTAGGAAAGATGCTACCACAGGTTGCAACTCGTGGAAATCATGGCGCCCCATGTGGCAATACAATCATATAGGTTTCAAACAGGAATTTACATAGGCTCCACGCATTACACCACAAATATGTTTCAATACCACATGTTCATATTCACATCACATGTTTCTGCACATGTGAAATTCATGAGTTTTTCCTGACATGTACCTCTTCACCTTGTGGGATAAATAGACTGCGGTTCCAAAAATGTCTCTTCTGCAACCAATGTTCAGCAGCATAAAATACTTGGTTTTGCGCTCCATTGCTTTCGAGACACACAAGAAACAGCCCGGCATCAGACTGCCTCCATCAGATGAACTGCTGCTGTGCACAATTACATCTGTAGTTTCAGTAAATAGTGCACTAAACTGAAAGATCGCAGCGATGCAAAACTGTCATTTTGACACGCTTAATCAATATCCCAGAATGTCAGATTTCTAATCTAGTAAAATGTAATGATTTCTCTAACCATGACTTTCTTCTGTTCTTCTACTGTCTCCTGCAGTGGAGGCAGAATCATTAGAGTCTCTGGTCAGAACCTGGATGTGGTCCAAGAGCCCAAAATGAGGGTCACCCTCAGTCCTCCTGATACTCTTCCTCCGAGGAGGAGAAGGGGCATCGATAGGAGGAATGGAGGAAGCCTGAGCAAAGGACGGGATCATCGGGGTGCACTGAAGAGATGGAGGAGGATCGTCCCAGAGGCGGACTGCCCCGAGGGCACACTCTGTCATGTCAAACAGGTATGTGATCCTACAGATACATGCTCATACATGCTTTTATTCAAATCTGTAAAATAATTACAATATACTGTTGTGTATAAAACTCCTTTACAAAACTTTTTTTTATTGTTCCTCTCCAGTACGAGTCTCGCTGCACAGTGAACAGCTCCTCCCTCATCACGTGTCCGACTCCTGCGGTGGGTTCGGAGGCTAGGAGGGCCAGGGTCAAAGTTCACTTCCTGTTGGACAGCCTCCACTTTGACTTCAGTGCTGCAGGGAACGAAGCCTTCAGCTATGAGCCCAACCCGCAGCTCTACCCTCTGAACCAGAATGACCCGAACAAACCATACCACCACAAACCTGGCAGCATCATCTCTGTCGAGGTGCGTGCCAGTAAACTTTCCTTCCCGTCTTCTTTCCACCCTAAACTGTCTCCGAGCCTCAGAACAGCTGCAATACTGACATTTCCCACATTCATAGTAAATACTACAGTTTAACTCATGCTGTATCTTTCCCTTCTAGGGAGAGAACCTGGATCTAGCCATCTACAAGCATGAGGTGGAGGCTCGGATAGGGGAGGGGGTGTGCTCGGTGAAGACCCTGACGCACAACCACTTGTACTGTGAACCGCCGGCCCAGCAACCCTCAGCCATAGCCGGCAACAAACAGGATGGCATGGACAGTCTGCCTGAGTTCACAGTGAGTAAATGTTACTGAGAACTTGCAATTCAAGTGACTGAAATACTGCACTGATTAGATGGAAACTAAGGATTTAGGAGCAACTCAGTATAGAGGAACATCAGTCTGTGACTGCATACTAACTGTTTAACTCACACTGGTTAAACTTAAAAATCTTGATGGCTGCACCCATAGTTTTTTTCCTTGGTGGTGTAAAATGTCTGTCATTGTGCTTTCCAGGTGAAAATGGGGAATCTGAACTTCTCTCTGGGCAGAGTGCAGTACGACAGCCAGGCCCAGTCTACATTTCCTCTGGAGGCTCAGGTGGGAGTCGGGGTGGGAGCCTCCATAGTGGCTCTCATTGTGCTCATCATAGTCCTCATATACAGGTAAACAGCACTTCATTTCAATGGACTTACCTCATTGTTCATAACAGGCTACAATGTGCAGTACCTCACTGGTTCCCAACCTTTTTTTCTATATTGAATAACCTGGGTTAGCAGTATTGGAACAACCCTGCTGACTGGAATATGATTTTCAGTCAAACCTGGCATTTTTTCATACCTATCTTCTTCTTCTATTAACATGGTGCTGCTTTATTTCTTTACCTGAATGTTGTCTGGCCATCATTGTTCTTTGTCAGGAGGAAAAGCAAACAGGCCATGAGGGACTACAAGAAGGTGCAGATCCAGCTGGAGAACCTGGAGACCAGTGTGAGAGATCGCTGTAAGAAGGAGTTCACAGGTATAATCCAAACCTTCTCCTAGTAACTTTTAGAAAATAACACCAGCTCAGTGTCCCAACATAAAGAAGATGCACAAACTGTTGCCTTCATTCCTTTCCACCCTCCTCCAGACCTGATGACAGAGATGATGGACATGTCCAGTGATCTGGTGGGTTCAGGGATTCCCTTCCTGGATTACCGGGCGTACGCCGAGCGCATCTTCTTCCCGGGCCATCAGGAGTCGCCACTGAGACGAGACCTGGATGTTCCAGAGAGTCGGAGGCAGACGGTGGAGCAAGGGCTGGTTCAGCTGTCCAATCTGCTCAACAGTAAACTCTTTCTCACCAAGGTCAGTGTTGTTGTTGTTATTGGGAAAGATCTCCATTTTGTTGTGTAGAAACTATAATAACATTATAATTTTCCTAATAACTCACTGTTTCTTCACATCTTATCCCTGTTGTCTCTCCAGTTTATTCACACTTTAGAGGTCCAGCGGACGTTCTCCCCAAGGGACCGGGCTTATGTGGCCTCTCTGCTGACTGTAGCCCTGCATGGTAAACTGGAGTACTTCACAGACATCTTGAAGACACTGCTTAACGATCTCGTGGAACAGTATGTGGCCAAGAACCCCAAACTGATGCTCAGGAGGTAAGGACGATCTCATTTGGACAGTTTATGTCCAGCACTGGGTCTCTGGTATTTTCCAAATCCATAAATAGTTTGCTTACATGTGTGCTTTTCCATTTCCAGAACGGAGTCAGTGGTTGAGAAGCTTTTGACAAACTGGATGTCCATCTGTCTGTTTACCTTTCTGAGGGTATGTATGCTAGTGTTTTACATTTAGCCAGAGATCAGTGAATGGAAATGAAATCAGTATTAAAGCTGCAGTAGGTAACTTTTATAAAAATATGTTTTTTGTCATTGTTGCTGTGTTCTGACAGTAGTTCATGAGACAGATAATTTGTGAGAATTAGGTCCTCCTATCAGAGCCAAGAGAGATATATAAAGGTCTGTGGGTTGGCAGTTAATTGTTGAGTCTCATTCCCAGGGTCCTTAAGCGTCTGTCTTTGACACCCTGGTTGTTTTCGTTCTGGTCTAATTGCTGGTTGTAAAATGCATCACTACCAGTGCACCCCGCATGAATTTCTCCACAGACACTAGACTAATAACCTCTGGTGTACTGTGACATACAGAGTGATTGGCTTAATCAACACTGTGTGAACTCGTTTGACAAGGGCTTGAATGTAATGGACATTCATTTATATGTAAAAGCCCGGCACTCGGGGCGACCTCGTTGCTCACCTGATAGAGCATGTGCCCCAGGTACAAAGGCTTTTTTTATTTGAATGATTTTTAGGAGCCCCAGGGAAGTATTATCAAAATAATAAAAAACCCAGAGAAGAGAAAATACACACACAAAAAAACTAAAGTTTGTGTAATGAGTATATATTAGATTTTTTTTCTACTTTCTAAATATTATATATATCTTGAATCCCTTTGTTACTCTCCAGTTTGAGTACTACTGTTATAGTTATAGCTGTCCTATCAAATAATATAACTTTGCTGCTGTCATTTTTCCATAAAATGAATATTTCATTGTACACAGCAGACATCTGTTAAGTTAGAAACAATTAAAACGTATCACAAATGGAAACTCTCTTTTGAACCAGTTAATCAGACCACTCGGTCAGGGGACACTGACTGAATGAGTGTGTGTTGTGTAAGGACATTGTTGACTTTCCGTCTTTCATGCTTGACCAGGAGTCAGCAGGGGAGTCGTTCTACATGCTGTTCAGAGCAATAAAGCACCAGGTGGACAAGGGACCTGTGGACGCCGTGACAGGAAAAGCCAAGTACACACTGAATGACAACCGCCTGCTGCGAGAGGATGTGGAGTACCGCACGCTGGTTAGAACACACATACATACATACAGTATATTAACACAGGCAGGGTTCATATATTAACAAACTGTCTGTATGTTACTAAAGAATCAGACTTTTTTCTTGGTTTTCATCCTCCTCCTCCTCATTTTTGGTGGCCTTAAGTTGGTATATGTAGCCCTTTTTTTCTGAATTCAATTTTGAATTATTAATTTAGATGCGTTGTACTTAAACACTTCCCCACAAACTGAAACTCAGTGCACAGTGGTATCACAATATTTCCAGCAATAATCAGCCCTCCTGTTCATCTGTCCAGACCCTAAACGTTGTGATGCCAGCTGCAGCCACCAGCGGAGGCACTACTACCCAGACGGTCCCTGCCAAAGTCCTGGACTGTGACACCATCACCCAAGTAAAGGAGAAACTTGTGGAACAAACCTGGAAGGGGACCTCCTTTTCCCAGAGGCCACACATAGACTCATTACACCTTGGTAAGTCAGCTTCATTCAGGAACATTTTACATTTTAGTTTCACACACGCCATGGCAATGCTGGAATAGATGGGGACAGTCCAGCAGATGGCGGTAATGCAACACTTATGGATGCCGCCGTAAAACTCAAATGAAGAACAATACGGGGTGAAGGCCAGTTGTACAGCTGCAGTTTCACCCTCCGCACTGACTGAGATGAGCTCCCTTATTTCTGAATCAGTCCAGTTTCCAGACATTCTTAAAAAACAGAGCTTGAACCCTTTTGACTGGTTCGCTCGCTCAACATGAAAGCACCTTTTTGACGTAACCCTTTACATGCTTGCAATGTTACTACTTTCATTCACAACACAGCCACACAGGCTTCTTCCCTGAAATGTTAGGTCTTGTACAGATTTCCAGACTACAGAACGCTCCTAAAGGGATACACTGCATGTGTGAAAGGGGTTCATGTCTGCTGTAGTGTCACTGAAACTCTTATTTGAATCTGCAATGTTCAGAAGTAGCACAAGGTTACGGTTATGTTTTTCATTCCTTCCAGAGTGGCGTGCAGGTGTTGCAGGTCACCTAATCCTATCAGATGAGGACCTGACGTCAGTAGTGCAAGGCTCATGGAAGCGCCTCAATACACTGCAACATTACAAGGTCTCACACACACACACACACACACACACATCAATCATGCACGTGCAGAATAAAGCTGTTAAAACCCTTTAGATTCATAAAATTCTTCTAATTGTTTGAGGCAGTATGTTCCCAAAGTGTGAACATTTCGATACAAACTGTGATGCAGGTACCCGATGGAGCAACAGTGGCCCTTGTCCCCAGGAACACCAAACATCACCTCCATGACAGCCACGATTACATGCCTGGAGAAAGTGAGTCTCACTTCTTGCAACTTTCTGTGGATTGCACACACTAGAGGCATTCGGATATGAACAGATACAAAAAGGAAGTTCTACACTGCAAAAACAGCCCTTCTAGAAACAAGCCAGATATTCTTAAATGAAATCGTATTTTCTTAAATTAAGCAAAGGAATCTACCACTGGGGTAAGCCAGTTTTGCTTGGCTAGAATTCTTAAAACTAGCATAAAAATCTAGCCACTGAAAGACTGTAATGTGCCTCAAAACTAGAACCAAGAATGTAGCCAAGTTGTGCTTATTACAAGCAATTAACTCAGTTAATAATAATAATAATAATAATAATAATAATAAAAATAATAATAATTAATCTAGAAAAAAAAATCTTACAAAAAGGCACAATTTCTTTAAACGGCATAATAAAAATAAGTGACTTTGTCTTAAATAAAGGCTCAAGAAGAATTCTTATTTCAGGCATTTTGTATGAAAACAATGAAAAACTATAAATAGCTGCTCCATTTACAACACTGGGACAAGACTACTTTCTTCTGAACTGAAGTTGTGCTAGTGGTCTTACTCTTAAAATAAGGAAAATAATTGTGTTCCTCTGCTGGTATATTATGCAAACCATTGTTGGAACTTGTTGGTTAGATCAAGCTCAATATCAGCTGTAATATCTTATAAAGACAAAGTTAGACTATATTCTTAAAACCAGCTCACTTTTCTAATGCAAAACATGTTTGACAAGTTTATTATTTTTTTTAGACAATAAATAATAACATATCAATAATAAATAAACTAATTTCCCAAAAATAAGTCTTTTTTTACTTTTATGAGATTTCTTTTTTGCAGTGTAGTGACTCCATGATTTACGATACAGATTTCCAAACATGTAAACAAATAGGCTACAAGCTAAAAACAAAGAGCCATACCTTAAATCATTTTGAGGGAAATATTCAGCGAGGTTCATCTTAACCTTTCAGTAACAGATTTGTTGGTCAGTTTAAGATGAAGCTTGACTTATGTTGCACAGGTGTTATTTTTACCTCATGATCTGACATTGAAGCTTGCAGTACTGAACAACAAGACGGGAGTATGAGGAGCTGAAGTTAGGGGCTGTCTTAAAAGTGCATGCAAAGTAGCCAATAAAGCTTTTTATTTAGGATGTTTTCCATTTGTTCATTTTTAGACCTCAGACAAACTTAAGATTCATCTGGGCCTCCTCCTATTATATACACAACCTCCAGTTTACACAATATTGCCCAATGCAATTCCGATTTTTTTTCCTCTGTTAACACCTCACTCCAAAAAAAATGTCTTTTCCCTTTATTTTTGAAGGGACAATTCAGTAAAATACACACCAGGCTTTATTATTTGATATAGTTAAGTACATGATCAAAATATGAAATTATGTAGTGTATATTGTGAGCCACTACGTGTATACATACTGAGAAAAAGGGGCAGTAAAAACACAGAAAATGAATCAGTCTAGACATTTTTAAACACCCTCCCCTGAACACACACACACACACCCACATGTCTTTTATATGTACATAAGCAGGATCAGTACAGATATTAATGCAGCCACGTATTAGCTGAAAACAGTCTAAATGACCAGGGGAGGTCGCTGTTTGACTGTGTATGCATGTTTTATGTTGCACTGGGAAGCTGAGAGTGAGCAATAAAAGTAGTTGTGAAACAACAGAGAAATGGACAATACCCAGCCAAAATAAATATACTAATTCTACTGTTGTCTCTTCCTACCAGAGACCCCTATGCTTGACGACGGGGAAGAGGGAGGAGTGAGGCTTTGGCACCTGGTGAAAGCCAGCGAGGAGTCCGAGCTGCCCAAGCACAGGAGAGGCAGTCTGAGGGAGAGGGGCGGCGAGAGGGCCAAGGCTATCCCTGAGATCTACCTCACACGGCTGCTCTCCATGAAGGTAAATCTCAGGGGTCTCAAACTCAGATTGATGTTGGTATTGTCATCTCATAGCAGGACCTCTTTAATGTTCAAGTAGAAAGCACGATATTCTGATTCTAATATTTCTATTAATAACATCATACTTAGAAAAAACCCACATACATTTTTATATCACCATTTTATATCTTCTTTGGTCTTTGCAGCCAAACAACAAATAAAGCCCTAAAACCTGCTCTCTTCTTATCAATCCTTTGACCCATGCTATTATTTTTTGGCAAACAAAATACAATAGTTATATGAAGAGGTAGTTTGAATAAAAAATAATTTAAAAATAATAATAATTATAATCTTATAGGTCAGATTATATTATATTTAGGACCTCATGGGATGGAGGCCCGGAATGGCCCGGGACCGGCAGTTTGAGATCCCTGATATGAATGGTAGCCTTCGAGGTGGTGCTCACACATATTTAAAATGTTTTGCATTATTACATTTACCACACGGCCACATTCTTTTTATGAAATACTATATAAATACAGTTTCTTCTTCTTATTATTGTTAAATTATCAGTTTGTTACAAGTCAATAGTATTTAACATGGGATATGTCAGAGGGTGACAAAGAAAGTCAGCGAACGTGACCAAACATTAACAGGAATAAAACTTAAAAAAAACCCAAAAACTTTCTTATCACTTTGGCCGTGAACAGTTTCTGCCTGAGTCATGTCAGATAGATTTTCATCACCAATGGTGGTTGTTAAACAATAAAGACAACAACTCCCATGATCCCACACTACTTCACAAAGTCATCAAACTAGTCTTTTGTTATTGTTCTGATGTGAGAGACCTTTTACAAAGAAGCCATTATCAGTCTTGATCCACAGTTTACATTATTTACAACATATGAAATATTTAATACATCTATTGACCTCACACATTGCATCGGGGTCTTTTCTGTTCTGACCACAATAAATTAATTATAATATATAATTAATAAATGGATTATTTGCATAGTATAAAAGTTGCAGTGGACAATGTACAGTATATTGGAAAACAAACTCTTGTCCAGTTTCAGAATGCTTAAAGAGGTAGTTGAGCAATTTATTATTGCAAGAGGTAAAAATAGCAGATTGCAGATATGGGTAAAGCTCCAAAAAAAAAAAACTGCTTCCTACATTTCCCATAATGCAACATGATAGTGTCTTTCATTAGACCCTGCCTAATAGACACATTTTCAAATGACCACAATACCATAGCTTTACCACTTTGCCATAGTTTTTTTTTTATATCTGTATTTATTTATTTCACGTAAAATGCTACTGTGACAAGGGAATTTCCCCGTTGTGGGATTAATAAAGTAATACAATAAAATACAATACAAGACAATATAAAGTTTTAACCTTCAAGCCCACACTGAGATAACCATGACATCACTGATGACATTATCCGGGTTATTTTCTCAGACGTGATAAAGCTCCAGAGCAACAGAAGATATTATACAACTGTTGAGGCAATGGAAAAATCAGTAGAGTGGCCCTTTATTTTGTGGTTTATTTGAATTTAAATGAGAATATTGTAAATCAACAGATAACCCAATGTGTGTATACGTCATTTATTTATCGGTTCTGCCGTCTCTGCTCTGTCTCAGGGAACACTTCAGAAGTTTGTGGATGATTTATTCACTGCGATCCTCAGCACCAGTCGTCCTGTACCTCTGGCTGTCAAATACTTTTTCGACCTGTTGGATGAGCAGGCCCTGCAGCACAACATCACAGACCCTGAGACCATCCACATCTGGAAGACCAACAGGTAATTGGCTGGCAGCAGGAGGAGCTCACAAAGGGAGACAGGGTTGGAAGCCAGAAATGGGTCGCAGGCCAACTTCTGGTGGATCGCCATATGAGAGGAGTTATAAACACGCTTCAGGGGGAATTTAATGTCAGCAAAGCCTGCCCACACAGAACATATGGACAACACTTGATCGCATGGTTTTACTGTGACCTGATATTAAGATACATTTGAAATGCCAGAACTTTACAATACTGTATCAAAAATATCCCTGAAGTGGTTCCTGGAAATATCACCAGAGCTCATGAAGCCGTTATCAAAGGGTTATTTAGGCCCCTTGGGCAGGGTAGAGGAGGAAAATACCAAATGATACATTTTGTTCCCTTTTAGTTCTGGTCAAGTGTAAACCTACTGAACTACTGCAGGTTGAGCTTCTCTTATTGGCTGCGCAGTTTTGACTCGTCCATAGCAGGAAACAATGGTGGCTCGCCTGGACACACACATTCTTGTATTACAGCTAAACAGTACACTATATGTTTCTGAAACCATTTGAGCTGAGAAATAGGTAGCACATTGAACGAATCTTGCTTTATAGTATAGTTTTGTACGCTGCACTGGACGGAAGAATGACTTGTCAATCATAAGATAGCCAGCCCAAAAGCATACTCTGCTTTATCGTCTATTTTTAATGGGTCCAAAATTTCATTTTCTGTTGATTCTGGTGGCCCTTGTGGACAAAAGGGATGTTTCTACCATCTTGTTTCATTGATTTCAAGAGGGAATCTGACCAAATCTGACCTGGCAGGTATGGTCTTGTTTGTTAATCTAGGTCATATTGAGGCATCTTTTAACAGTTATAAACTCCTTGTAGTACGTTTAACTAAATATTCAAAGTTTGTTGGGATCAAACCAAACATTAGGTATGAAAGCACTATTTAAGAACCTTCTGGTGTTTGGCAGTGGTTGTAGTCAGAATGAAAGGTTCATTGAAACATGTCCTTTCCTCTTACATATAAATGTGCTGTGTCTTGATATACATTACAATCAGCGGATCGCTATTGACATGTGCATGGGCATTTCCCTTCTTGCCAAACAGTTTACCACTGCGGTTCTGGATCAATATCCTCAAGAACCCACAGTTCATCTTTGACGTGCAGACCTCAGACCACGTGGATGCTGTGCTGTCCGTCATTGCCCAGACCTTTATGGATTCCTGCACCATCGCTGACCACAAACTGGGACGGGTGAGCGAATCACTTTATGGCACTGCCAGTATTATAGAACAGTATTACATTACTGCATTATACAGTGATACAATTACATGACTATATACACTACATTCACATCACATATCTATATATTGCTACTATCTAGCAATGTATACAAATTGAGATTTTGTAAAATGTGTGAAACCCAATAATATAAATCATGTTGTACTTGGCGGCTGTAATGAGCCCTCAAGCTGTGTTTTGTACCCGATGCATCGTTCAGTCTACAGTGCTTTGTGTTATCTGTCTTGTGTGAGATTCAGGACACGTTTCTCCATTTGTCTTCCTTGCACAGGACTCTCCCATCAACAAGTTGCTCTACGCCAGAGACATCCCGCGCTACAAACAGATGGTGGAGAGGTAAGAATATGGCAGCCAGTTGCCCCACTGACCCCCAGGCATAAAAAGACACTGGAGAGGGGGGGAGGGAGGGGAGGAGGGATAGAGCGAGGCCTAGGACAATCTGTCAGTGGCAGACAGAGGGTAGACTAAGCCTGCGAGGTTTCCATGCATGGATGGTCTGAGAGCAGACTGCTACACTTACTGCTGTCTGCTGCACATGAAACCCTGCAGATTACACTGGTGATGTATTAAAACTTCGCTATTCAAGTTGTTTATGTAACAAATATGGCTGTTTTATAAGCCTTATTAGCATGCGATAGATTGATCCTGTATTCCCATATGGAATTAAACAGACACAAACAGTGCACACCTTTTATGAAAAAAAATGAATGGTGGACATGATAATTGACGAAATGAACTGAGTAACTTCAAAACAACTAATAATTTTGTTTTTGCTGACCTCCAGTGGTTTAACTTCTCACCTTACTGCAGTGTTATAGAAGTGTGCTCAGAGTGGGGTCAGTACACTAACATCACTGCTAGGTGCAGCAATTTTAAAACTCTGAACCAGAGGAGTTCAGTGTGACAAAGAGTTTTTCAGATTGGTATGACTAGCCTAAAGTTAGTCCCCCAGAGAGAACCCACAGAGAATAATGAGTTTTAGCATATTTCAGCTCATTGTTTTGGTGTTAGAGACATTTTTTTACAGTTAGGTTCAGACTCACAGCTCTCATCTTAGTTGTATCCAGCAGCAGACTCCAAATGACGGCTAATGTTCCTCCGTGGGTGCTTGATGTGCTAACATGTTCGCCTTGCCAACTTATACAATGTCGATAGTTGTGGCAAACCACCACCACATTTTATTTCAGTTTTAAAACTGCAGTACTTAACTTAAAAATAACATTTTATCATGTTTCGCTCATCGTTCAGGCGGTGGATTCTTGCAGACGCCATTAGGAGCACTAGGAGGAGCCAGAGGAACCTAATTTTTTTTGCACAGATTATCTGTCTCGTGTAATACTGTCAAGATATAGTGAAGGTTTCAGCAAATATGACAAAAAAATAGTATAGTATAAATAAAATACGTGCCATTGAAAAAAATGTGTATATGTATGTTTTTATACTGTATATTGTATTGGAGGCATTTAATTTTCATTTAATATAACATGCTGCATTTTTATCGGGCTAACTATGAATTCCAAACCTGCTTAACTTTTAGAGTTTTGGGTTTTGACTTTGGCTCCTCATGAACACATCCTCTGCTCTAAGATAACCAGCTCTGCTTATTATACAAATTTACCATTATTAGTTATGACCGTGTCACATGAGTTTGTCTGTACATAGGGTACACGCTCTCTATGCATTCTGCTGTCAGAGTTGTATAGCAGCTGCTGAAAAATTCTGGCATGAAGAAACTGGAGGCATCAAATTATCTTCGATTTCTTTGCCGTATATGCAGTTCTTTCTTTCTTTTCTATACATAGCTCTACACTTCTCTCTCTCCAGGTACTATGCAGACATCCGTCAGACCATCTCTGCCAGTGACCAGGAGATGAACTCCGCTCTGGCAGAACTCTCTCGCGTATGTTACCCGCTCTTGTTTCCCCAATTTGCAAAAATAACTTTTTTGGGCAAAGGCTGAACACATAAATCATTTCAGGGCCTGTAAGTTTCCAGCTGGGTGGGTGCCTAACAAGCTAGATGTGGAGTTTGTAATAAAATATGCATGGCAACCAATGCAGTTTTTAACAGCCTCCACCCCCTGATGTTTCTTCACCACCTCTCTATTTTTACTTTCCCAAAACAGAATTATACTGCTGAGGTCAACTGCCTTGTGGCTTTACATGAGCTGTACAAGTACATCAACAAATACTATGATCAAGTGAGTGCAATGATTTTTGGGTTGTACAGTATGTTGTGCTGTGGTTCAGATGCATCTCCACTACATGTCATTACACATTACACAAAATACACAACCTCACAAGGTAAATATTCATTTGTGAAAATGCAATGCATTTTATAATGAATTTTGTAAAAGACGTCTAAATATGTGCTTAATGGGTAAACAAATGATATCCTGCTAAGAGACTGAGGCTAAAAAATGCTAAACGTCCCGAGCAAAAAGTCAGCATCCTCATCGGTTAATGAAAGAGGCTGCTTAGCCAACCAGTCCATGTACATTTTTAAAGATACAAGAAAAAAGGATGATGACTAACCGATATTATTGAACATGAACGTAATATTATTTCACTGATAACATTAGCTCGGCTCCCCAAATCCAATAAAGAGCAGGACACAAAGGCTAATACACTAAACTCTGATAGTATCCAGGACTGGCTTTCACACAGTGGAGAAATACTGCAGAGAGGATGTACCAGCCCTGAACAGGTTACACCACAAACTAATGTAATTATTTAATTGCATGCTACTACTACTACTAATACTACTACTAATACTTTTTAGAAAATGGCAGGCACCTTAAAAAAAATACTTGGCAATTGATTGGATGAACCATCTGTCAATCACCATGTATCACTTCTTGCTCTCCGGAAATACTCTGATTCTGATATAAGTGATGCTAGCAGCATCTACGCTAACCTCTTTAACTGCCAACATTTTCCTCTCACACACACTTAGCATTAAACCACAGCTGTAGCTCATGCAGTAGCTGCAAGTAGTTCAGAGGATGCTGATTTGTCTTTAACCACCGTGGTTGGACACACATAGCTTGAAGCCTCCAGGACGGATTCCCGTGTGATCTTGTTTTTTTGTGATCTTGCGAGTCCAGCTGTGAAGCAAGGTTACCAAATTCCCTCAACCTTTCACTTTCGTCTATATAAGGATCAACCCATTGTAAAAATTATTAACATTCAATGCAAAGCTAAACAAATTGTAAGGATTTTAATCAGATTTTTTTCTTCTGTCAGATTATCACAGCCCTGGAAGAGGACTCTACAGCCCAGAAGATGCAGCTTGGTTACAGGCTCCAACAGATTGCTGCTGCCGTAGAAAACAAAGTCACAGATCTATGACCCCGAGGACACGATAGATCTTTCCTTTAACGTTAAAGCAGAGGACAATGACAGGAGAAGGTTCCATCTCCTTTTTAAGACAAGGGAGGACAAAGGAACATAGTGGCACTGTGATTTTGCTGTCATTTTGACAGACTGATTTTTAGTGACGGGAGAAATTATCTTAAGAGGATCACTGACACTGTTTCCTGTCCCATATAAGACTCCCTTGATATTTCCACAGATTCTTACACTGGGAGTAAAATGGCACTGCTCTAATGGGGGAAACAGAGAAAAAAACGAATTCCCTCTGAACGATGAGATCTCGTAAGGATTTCCCATGTTGAATTCGCACCAAAGGGAGAATATGAGAAGAGATCTTTTTGTTTTTCCTACGTGTCTCGGTGGAAGATTTTCTTGGCAAAGTGCACATTCCTATTACAGCTATACTTACTAGTCTTGTGCTGAGGCATGGATGCTGTAGCTGTGCTGGATGAAGAAGCCGTGAACGAAGAGAAAAAGGGAAAAGGAGGATGTCAACGGCTGTGGAGTTTTCTACCACGTTGTGTCAAAGTCTTACATAAAGGACAAACGGATAATGACACTGTCAAAGTGCTGTGGAGGCCTGAGCAACCACTCACCGTGTTCGAAGGATGTTTTCATTCTGCCTTTAGCTTCCTTAAATCATTCGACCAAGTCTTACTCTATGATGTTTAACTAGCTGTTACTGGACAGTTTGTTTTTCTGTGTAAACAATTTCCCAGGATAGGCTTTCTTTTTTAATTTTTTAATTGTCACATCGCCACTCGTCCCTTTACTGCAATTTGTAGATGATGCCTCATGTAGTTTGAACTTAAAACCAGTGTTTTGTAAAAGTGATTTTTGCGGACGTAGTACGTGAATACTCTCAACCTACTTAATGCTATTGTGAATGTTCCTTTTCTTAAGTAATGTTTCGCAGATGTTGATATCTAGTTTGTAAAAAAAATGTTTCTATGTATTGACCCTTCGTAACTCCCACCACTTTTTGCTTTGTGCTTCAATAACAATTAAGCCAGTCTCAGTCAGAACCTCGGTACGTATTATCTTCGTTGAAAAGACAACCAAATTTTAAAGAGGGTTAAAATATAAAAGCATAAATAATATATACAGTTAAATCTTAAGTTAGCTAGCTAATTTTAAAGGAATGCTAGTTAACTAGGTAGCTAATTTATGTCAATCATTTGTTAGCTAGCCCGCATTTTTCTAACATTTAAATAACAATTTAGCTGTTAACATTCTAACAGTTAAATTAAGGTTGGAGAATATAAGTGTCGCTTTTATCTTTTAAGATGGGCTAGCTTAGCTCATTATTGGAGCACAGAGCAAAAAGGGGCGGGACTTAAGAAGTGTCAATTTGGCAGAGCTAATTAATTAACTGATCCGTCCTCAAAAAAAGCCATGAAAGTAAAATCTTCTACATAACTTTAACTACATATTGACAAAATCCATAATAGCACTGCTGTAATCTGTACTAATTCAGTGAAAAATTATGATCTTAGCCCGACTTATTAGGAAATACATGAATAATGCACAAATGAACTGAGGAATCTTAAGAACAACCCTCATATGTTCTATTGATGGATTGTAAATCCTGAGGTGACTGTAAAATATTGTAGAATACAATTGCTACATATTTATACAGTTATTTCTCATATATGTGCATTTTATAGATTTATTTAAATTGCGTTGTCCAGTTTATTTTCAATGTAAGTCAGGTTTGATCATCCATATTTCTAATGTTTTGGCTATTTTCTGTTTTTGGATTTAAACATTTTTCACATAGCCAGTACTTAAGTGAAAAGTTTTCTTAGTCGCACCTGTAAATTTAGTCTGTAACTGTATGACCCTTTAATATTACGGGCTTTTCCAGGCTGAAGGAAATCGTGGAAACTGTGGCCTGCACTGGCTGGTTGTTAGTACAGGATTGTTAATTTTTTTACACAAACATTTCACGATGACAGAACAACTTTGATTTTAAGCTTTATTTTGCATTCATGTTTTTGGTGTCAGAGCGGATGCCAGATTTGAACACTGTTACGGCAGAGCAAAGCTTTTACAGATTCCTCCTTTCCTCTCAAAATTTAAATCAGAGTAGTATTAATGAACAAAGGTGCCTGTGTTTCCTGTCGCTATGTGATGCCACATGTGAGAGTCTTTTTGCTAGTTTTTTCCAATTTAATTTATTTTGTATTTATTTTATTACTATATGTTGTTGAATATCTTTTTCTGACACATAAAATAACAGCGGTTATACCCCCTTTTAGTCAGATGTCGCATCTGCTATTATTTTTTTTTAAAGAAAAATAAGAGCCTTTTTTTATCCATTGACTGGCTCTTATGGTAGTTGTGAGAAAATCTAATTCACAACCAGCTGTCTGAAATTCTTGATTCTCTCCTTTTATATTTTGCATCCGTTTTAGAGGCAATAGGGATTTTTAATGTTGCAAGCGATTATTCTGTACATTAAAAAAAACGTTACCACCATTCTTTGCCATGCACATTGGTGTTGCTTGTGGCTTACTTGTGTACGCAAAGCTCCATTCTGATGTTTCACCATTTTCCTGTAGATACATACTGCTTCTTAAGTACTCCTGACTTTAGTGTTCTCTAACTAATTGATAGGAAGAACCTAACAACAACTTAATGTGATCCAATAAAGTGCTCCCGGTGTTAATCAATGTCTCAAGTTATTCTGCTGTTACTTAGGGGTGGTTGATCTGGCCAAAACATAATATCAGAATCTATGTCATTACAATCACAATCCATGATTTGAATTGCGATTTTTTTTTCTTAATTCTGGAATGTCCTGTAGACTATAGCCAGGCTTTAAATAACCTATGAATTTATCCGTTTGCGTCCTTCGCATCAACGCATTTTCAGAGTTACATTCAGTAATCTAAGGGGCATATGTGAGCTGTATTAGTCATGTGCCAACTACTATATCACACACCAAACTTTAGGAAATGATGCATCTCTCAGCTCTACACTCACATTTTGAAACAGCACTTGATGGTGATGATAGTTATTGTGCAAAGTGTCATTGGTCATGACAAATATTTAGTTAGCTGAGTCAACATGTATCATCTTTAGTTAGTTGATTTTAACACTTATATATAGGATGGTTCAGAAATGTGTCTTTATTTGTCATCATTCATTATGGTTGCCACTAACTAAAGAACAAACCTGACACTGACTTTGTTTCCTTGCATCTTCCCTGATGTTCCTGGTCTACCAGCAGCAGCATTTCTTCCCTGCTCCAATTTAGTTTTCTCTTTTTCCATTTAAGCCATCCCCATTTATAGATTAGAAATAATTTAATTTGTTTTAATAACTTATTGCCATAGTGGTTTGTCATGTCGTGCTCATGCCGTAGTCTTAAATGTTACTCCTACATTTTTTACTTCTAAGGGGGCTCTTTAAACCTTGAAACTATTGGACACCAATTAAACACACCTAGATAGAATTCAGCCATTATTAATGTTATTTGTTACAACTGTTTTTCTGCCTTGAGGAAGGTCTATAAGGTCACAGTTACATATGTTACTGACTGGTAGTGAAAGCCATGAAAGACTGCGTGTTTAATTTGCATAACAATTTCAGTGAAAGAATGCAGCCGACAGTTTGACTTGTGATATTAAAAAGTGTAACTAATAACATTAATGAATGTTTCCAGTTAATTTAGGTGGTTCAGTTAGCCATGACAACGAGCCAGCATGCAATTCCAGGACCCTATAACTGAAATAGAGTGCAGCCATTGTCAGTGTCAGATTTAGACTTATGCCTACAATGCATGTTAGAAAGGTGGTTCTGTCATTAGCAAGAACCATTTCCAGGCTAACTCTCTATAACTGCACTAGCTGTGTCAGCTTGCTCAGTGGTCCAGGACCAACAGGGGACCTTGAGTGGGTTGAAGGGGGTCCCCAGGAAAAGGAGGAAGAATATTTTATTTTTTTTGTTTTTATTGAATGTAATTTATAGTGATCCCAGTTTGAGTATGAACACTCTGAAATACTCTCAAACTGGGTGTCTGTGGTCTAATGTGCATCTATTCTGGGGGTCCTAGACAGAAAAAGGTTTGGGAACCCCTGATCTAGCACAGTAACTACTTCCTTGGCTGGGAACTCCATATTTGGACATCCTCTCTCAGTAGCCTATAAATGTGGGAGTATCAACACCTGTCACACACAGCTGGCGATGCCCAACCATGCCTGGGCCTCAAGCTAATCCCAAACAATTCATATTCCACCTCATGTTTTGTCCGGAGACAACAGTTTGAAATATCACAAGTGTCAGACGACTATCACTAAAACAAAGTAATAGCTAAACATTCATCCGCCGTCCAGCGTGAGGATCAGGTGACAACTGTGTTGTGTCTGTTTTCTCTTGCGGCTGCAGGGTGATGAAATCTCAAATCTGTGAAAGCGAGTCACCCTTGAAAGTGTTTAATGTGTGCGTATGTGTTCAAGCGCTAAACTGAAGACAAGCAGGATCAGTGTGTGTTTCTTAAATTAGCAACAGCAGAGCAAATGAATGTAGGTCACGTTTCACCCTATGGCAGACAGGGTCAGATAGGCCAAATTGAAGGTCAGGGAGTGTGTGTGTCCTGATTCCCACGCATCCTGGAAAACCTGGAAATTTAGAGACTAGTTTTCCATCATGAAAACACCTGGAATTCGATTAAAATGAACCAGAATTCTAGAAATAATATATGTTGTCTTGATTGATTTGAACTGATATTTCTGGGCATTGGCCATAGGACATGGTCAGAGGAAAACTGAACGTGGGTGAACTGATCCTTGATGTGATTGGCTGGTCTGTGATGTTGCCTCTCCAGCACTAACGGCGTGGTTTATTTGTGGTTTGAAGAGCTTATAAATACAGCAAGAAGAAGATGAACCTGCCAGCTGCCTTCACACCTTTGTATATGCTCAGTGTTTATGATAAATGTCCTATCAAATATGAATTTGAAGCTTCAGATGTTTAACTGGAGCAAAAATATGTTGTGCTGTAAACCTCTTTTACCACCTGATATGTATCCCCTACTAACCCAGTGATCTAGATCCATGCAGGTGCTGTTATGGTGTCCCTCAGCACACACACACACGCACACATCCTGCTCCGTTGGGAAGAGTCTTATTACATCTCTTTGCAAATGGAAAATAGTCACAGCCAGCACAGGGTTTTCAGCTTAAGACTGGATCAACATTAGACAGTAATAGCAGGACTCAGGAGGATTGGAGCACCTGCACACTCTAATGCAATGCAGTACAGCAGCTACTACTACTTTGATGAAGCTTGTAGTATTCAGTTGTTTTTTAAACTTTGTATCAGAGAGGTTGACCAACCACCACTAACTCTAGTCTCACACATTACCATATGCTGTAGTTGAACTCACAAGTTCTGGATACAGTGCAAACTGTGTTGCAAGGCTGTGCTGTTTCAATTGTTTATGTCACTGTGTCCATCCAGGGTGTGCATACACAAGGCTTCCAGCGCACTGCGTATGCATAATTCACATGATTTTAATAGTTGAAACTGCTGTTCACTACTTACTGGAACCAGAAAGGGAGACTGGATCACATCTATACTGACCTCCACTGTGGCTGATTTTAAAGAGTCACTGATTGTTTTTTGGAAATGAAGCCTTTTTTTGATTTAGAGTTAGATGAGTTAGATTTCTCATGTCTGTAAAGAAAAAAGAAAATTTGAAGCTAAAGCAAACAGGTAATTAGCTTAGCATAAGCCAGAAAGTAGGGGGAAATAACTAGCTTGGCTCTGTTTAAAGGTACATAAATCCCCCTTTGTCAGATCAACCCATTTTACAAATTAACAAAAACAAAATGTTTGGTTGGCTACAGGTTAAACAAAGGAGATATAAAATGTTAATTTAGAGGTGCTGAAGACATCAAGCTTTGGATGGAGTCAGGCTTTTACCAAATCTAGGCTAACATTGTCGGACTCACAATGGACAGTTGCTCAAAAATAAAAGAATAAAATTAGATACAGCAGAACCACAGATATCGTCTTTTTCACACATTCTCTGGCACCTACATTACCCACAATGCCACAACAGATAATTCAGTTCCATTTTGTACTAGGACCTGGTGAACTACCTGTTACTGTATATACTGTACATTGGACTGATTTTGCACTCACTACTTGTACTTGTGTTGTTTTAAAGATGCTTTATAAATACTTGACCTAATTTGCATAAACAATATAAAATAGAATAGATAGATATAGATAGACCAATAGAATTGGTTAAAAATTCTAATCATGTTGATCTCAGTAGTTTTAACGTACAGGAACAGGAACTTAGCAAGCACACCACTTTAGCCACAGTGTGCTCTGTAGTCAGAATAGCTCATAGATAAGGACCTGGAATAATGCGTCATCTGACTATGAACAGTTGTTCACGTGAGGTCAAGAGGCCCTCAATATCTGAATTCGAGTGTTCTTGCATTTAAGTCCCATCACACCACACACATACACACACTGTATAACACACCTCAACTCTCATTTCTCTCCCTTCAACACCATCAGTTCTCTCTCTCTCTGCTTTATAACCCAGAGTGTTAACGGCACAGTGTTGGCAACAGAAAGCAGAGAATCAGGCTCTGGGATGTGGAAAGTTTTCTGAACATGTGCGCTGGCCACACACACACACACACACACACAGAGTAGTGATAAAGCTTGAAACCACTAGTGTATGTATATTTAGAAAGGTTTTCACACAGAATGCCACTCATTCCAAAATAACTCTTTTGATAGTTTGCCTGTAGAGTTTGTATTTATCTAATGTTCGTTCAGGGTTCTATATAAAGTATACAGTATATATGCTAGTACCGTAAAACTTAAATTAAAAGCACATACCAAATAAACGCAAGTCCTCTCTACTAGCTTCTTGTGGCTACACGTTTTGACAAAAAAACGCAGGTCTCAATTAGACAACTGATCGGGATTTTATAGAAGATCTTTGGATGTATAAAACCTCTTAAAGCATATCTGGTCGCTTGCTTGAGGCACTTCTAAGCTGCTTAGAACGCCTACACAAATATAATAAATGTATATTGTATATGATAAACGCTACGCTTCTATCTCTCCACGATTCAATCGTTTAGTCAAATTTCTGGAAACCTTGAGGGCCAAAGTATCAAATGATCCAGTGATGCATTTTTATACAAGTAATACTCATACTCGTTCAAATAAACACTTTAATAGTATTTCCCACATTTGTTGAAAGTTTTGTGCAAAAGGAATAGGCCTGTCCCATATGTAGGCAGGATGAGTTCAGTGCTCGAAGCATATAAAGCCCGGGCTATTGATTGAAGTTTTGTGGTATTTCCAATGTCAGTGTGGAATAGGAAAAGAATAAGAATGGATCCTCAATTTGGGAAGAAAAACAACCCTCCTCAGCTGACCTTTGTTCTTATGTCTTTATTGTGATACCTTATATCGTGTTGGAGGAAGGGGATCCCATTCTCAAGCTGGGTTTAACAATCTGTGATCCCTGTGGCCCAAAGGTCAAACTCCCTGTGAGACAGGGGGAGAAAAAAAATATCAGCAGCTGTCATTCTTTCTCCTCCCTCACACGACACTCCTCTCATCTTTTAGTCCCTCTGCTCTCTGTTATGGCTTTCCCACAGAAGTGAACAAAGAGAAATTGAGGAATAAAGAAAGAGAGAGGGAGAGAGAGAGAAGGAGAGAGAGAGAAAGAGAAGGAGAGAGAGAGAGTCCAATTCAGGACAGAGGATATAAGTCACGGTGTGGCAGGTAAAGGCCTGACAGGCAGTGAGTTACAGTAAGAGGCTGCTGGGGATTTCCATGTTTAGACCCTGCTGACTACTGCTGCTGGCGTTCCCAGTCTCCTGAGAGATATACCGGATCCCCCCCAGACAGCTCCCCGCCCCACCACCACCACCTCTCAGCTGCTCAACTGTTTTTAAGTGGTGCAACGTTAAAGGTGCTGCAGTTTCATTTGTATTTGCTACAGTATTTGTCTCTCTCCTCTCTTTGTGCCAAAGATTTGACCTTTGTAGGCTCCAGATATCCACATTTTTTCAAATTCAAGATACCTGCTCTTTGATGCGTCTGCAGGTTGCATCTGCTGAACCGCACTATGCAGAGGAGTCCGCACTCAACGAATATAGCTGCTCAGCAGCATCATATGTAAGTACTGTATAGGGCTTCCTTTATATCTGTCACACCGTAGAAAAATCTTCTCATTGCACTTGAAACACAGCTGGGTAATTTCACTGCAGACAGATTGTGTTTTAAACCTGAAACACACAAAATGCAGCATACATTGTCTTTGCCGTAAACTAGTCAGTGTGTCACTTTTGGTGGAAAATGTTTTCATGGATGCATTTGCTTTAATGTAAATATAGCTTGGCTCATAACCACAGCAGTGCAGTCTGAAGCAGAGCAATGCGCAAATAGAGCATGCCAGCATTATTATAGATATCATGGAGGTGACTTAAATGGTGGTTTAGAGTGTTAAGTCTGTTCAAGTCTTCATATTACATCCTGCACATTTTTACTGTGTTCATTAAATCTAAAAACAAGGGTGCCATATCTCACATCAAACTCTACTGTTTGTTTCCAGCCACACAGAAATCAAACCTGTGTTCAGTATTTTCAGACATGACGTGACCCATACTCTTCCAACCGCCACTAACAGTAGATAGCAGATGGGATGCAGAGTTATCAGGTTGCGTGAACACATTGCAAAATGGTTTACAGTTGAGTCAGAAATAGTGCAACTTCCGATGCTGCTTGTCCACTCTTAGCCAGGCAGTGGGACAAGTTTCCATGCCTGGAGGAGTCCATGGGAAACTCTAAAAGTAGTTCAACTCTCCCGGCTGCCCCCAGCAACTCAACACTGACACACACATGCTTCATGCAGAGGATGCACATGCAGTAATGTAGGGGACATGTCTGTTTGTAGGAGTGAAGCTGGGTCTTCTAATAGTTTCGAAGCCCTCGGATGCCACGAGCAGCTGGATTCGAAGGACAACCAGGACTCTGAGGACCCCAGAGAATACTGTTACGGTAGTACAGCAGAGTCTCTTAACTCACTTCATCATCTGCAGATGTGCTCATTTACTGCTGCCAATGTCACCACACTTTTATCATAGACCTCTTCGTCCACTCAGAATAGGTAGTGCTAAGAGGTTACCTTTGCATTCTGGAAATTCTCCTGCACCATTTCTTTCCCCTTCCTGGTCAAGTTGTGTACACTACAGCTTCAAATAAGGGAGGTCAGGCCAGATATGTCAAAACAGCACATTTAGAATCTAACTGGTTTCATTGGGCCAAGACAGAAAAAGCCAACAGGAGTAGAGTTTAAGTTGAGAGAATGAAGTTGAAGAAAAATCACACAGAACAAAAAATGCCTTAGATAGTGCACGTTTGACTTAAAGGTTGTACTAAATTCACTTGCCACTTGCTGTCGCACTAAGCATCTCAGACCAAATCAATGAGACAGAAATAAAATAAAACTCACTGAAACTGTCTTTCCACAATCTTTGCAACAATCACTAGTACTGGCATGGTTAAAATAAATCTTTAATTCACTGAGTTAGATAGAAAATATTTGTAAAAAGTGTTGCAATGGCCGCACATAAAGTAATGTTAGTTCCTTGGGAACAAATGTATGTCAAAGTATGTCCACTAAAGTGCTTGTTTTTGTCACTGATTGTTAGTAATATCACAACACATTAAGGAAAGGATCCCTACAGAGATAAGACCAAAAAACAGTTATAAAATCAATATAATTTTTTTATTTTATTCATTTTTATAGTATAGTCTAAGTTTTCTTTAAGATGCATAGAACAGTGTGATGGGTTTGCTTAACTGTATAAATTTAATAAGGAACCAATAAATAGGACAGTAAGTCCAAACCATTGACAGTATATATAATGGACAGAGCTTCTGGGTCTGTGAAGTGAGGCCAATGTGGAAGTGTCTTAAACCTGGCCAGCAGGGGGCAGCTCCATTGGCCGCCAATACCATATAGTCTTATTGAGAAACAATCCGACTTCTCACTTCATTTATGAGCTCAGTAAACAGTTTCCTATTGAGTTTATGATCTCAATCTCTAGTTTCAAGTCTTTTTCTATACAGCATGATGTTCATTTAGTAAATTATGGTCCAATTTATATTAACATAGGCCATAAAAGCAGGGTACGCATTAAGGCAGGGCTACCTTGTGATTGACAGTTCCCTCTCAGTGAGTCTGTCCAGTGCAGTGCATATGAATTAAGATTCTGTTACTACGTTGACTATTTCTCACCTAAAATCTTTTCACAAACATATTTTAGTATACTGTTTAGCTGTAATACAAGGCTAACCATGCAAGCCGCCATTGTTTCCTGCTGGACAAGTTGAAACTGCGCAGCCAATGAGAGCAGCTTAACTTGCTGTATGTCACCTACACTGGCTCCATGACAAACTGTCATGGCTAAACTCCCACTCCCCTCCCAATCAAAAAATTGACCCTTACAGTCACTTTTCCATTAAAGCCAGTTTTTGAGCCATGACAAAGGCCAAAATGTAGCCTGCAACTGCCTAAGTAAGCCTTGTTTTCACTTGTGCTGAAGAGTCAGCTGTCCGTATAAAACTCAATCACTAAAATTGAAAATGGATTTTTCTGACATTATAAATCATCACAACTATGTGAAGTCATCCACCATACAGTCAAAAATGTTGGCAAAAAGTATGAATTTGAATAGTCCAGAAGTATGCGATATTAGCTGCGGACAGATACACACCCACACACGCACGCTAAACACATGATCCCCTCCAGGCTTACAAATGGCCGACATAATGACCGAATAAAGTGTAAATTTGAGGGGTCACAAGATTACTTTTCTTCAATAAATGTTCTTTTTTGTAAAATATTAGCTTCACTGTTCAGGCCTCTAAAATATTCAAATCACACAATTTGAAAGGGGAAATCATCACTTTGGTTGAACTGTTTGAACTTCCTAATGACACTGAATAAATGGTTTAATTAGGTCCCATCCTTTAGTCTGAGCTTCCCTTATTAGGCCTCATTTTAACAGCTATATAATTTAACTAGAAAACAGATTTTTAAAGACCCTCATGGTCACACTCAACCTTTGTTCCTCTCTTATTATATATCACTTTATCCTGCAGTATTCTGACCATGGTCCCTGTTCTTCATTTCTTCCCTGCCAGCTGTGCAGGTCTCTGTGTGTACCTCTTAAAGCAAGCTAAGCTGCTGAGTATGTGATACCACAGATCCCTGACACAGTAATAAATCATATACCAGCTCATATCATGTTCAGTTTAATAGAAATAGAGATTCAATTTCAAGATCTCTGATGATGGCCAAGAACTGTATGTCATGTTGGCTGAAAGAGAACTGATACAGGCTTATGCATCATCACTTTTCAGTGTCCCGCTGGCAGATTTGAATGTATTACTCACTACAGGCATGTTATAGCTTAGAGGAAGTTGTAATGCCAGAAATAGCGTTACTGCCACATTGTAGTCCTCTCTCTCTCTAAGCTCTCTAAACACCAGAGGAAATATGTATACTGTATGATGGTAAGGTTTCACATTTCAGTCATGAACTGTACAAAAAAAATAAAAAATCATACAAACAGTTCTATCTCCTTAGGTGGGTACCACCCAGTCCACATAGGTGACACCCTCAACACAAGATACCAGGTGGTTTCTAAGCTGGGCTGGGGCTATTTCTCAACTGTCTGGCTGTGTCTCGACCTCAGGTAGGTTTAAATTAGGGACTGTACAAAAATGATCAGGATGGGAAGGAGGAGCTGAATCTTATATTTCACTTTTTAAAAAACAAATACCCTTCCTGGAATTATTAATATTTTCTTTGGACCCTCACCTTGATTTAGAAAAGTTGGTAAACTAATTTCCTCATTAAAACCACTGAATTTAAAGGTCCAGTGTGTAACATTTAGAAGGATCTATTGGCAGAAATATAATATAACATTCATAGGTATGTTTTCATTCCCAGGTCGTCAAATACAGACGTGAGTGGTGTTCACTTAGTTGCAATCTGCAAATTCACCACTAGGTGTCAGTAAATCGGACACACTGGTCCTTTAAGAAAATGGAATCTTATTTATATAATTGCCACAATAGCCACAGACCCACATTTACTGTAAACATAAAAATTATAAATATTCCAGCCACTCGTTTTTTTTTTTTTGGATAAATCATTTGTTTGTTCCATTTCCAGTTTTAACTTGTTCTCTTGGCAGCTACAGTAAAGACATGCATATTGTTCCGATTATCTAAGGTGAGAACACACATCCAGATTTGTGAAAAGGTTGTTTTTTTTGTCACATGTCGTGTAAAACTGAACTGTGTATTAGTCTAACTAACCAGTGTTCTGGATGGAAAAATATTGGATTATAAATGGATGCAGCCATTAAACATATCACATAGGCCATCTTTTTTTTTAAGTGACAGAGGGATTGACCTTTGGTGGAAATAACATACAATCACTAATATCCTTAAAGATCTGTGTGTATTCAGGGACATTAGTTTATAAAAAAAAAGGGAAAAAAAGAGACATATGTAAGTCTAAATAGAAAAAAAGCACACTACCTTCCCTTTAGCAAAAAACAAAATCAATTTACAACCTACTCCCCCACCCAAATTTGTGTACAGTCTCTTTCTTATTCAGTTGTTTGACACAGCCTCAGATGTTGAGATTTGTTTCTCATAAAATGATAACAGAAAATATTAAGATAACAAAATACATGTTTGTATGACACTAAAACAAAGCTTTCATGGACTATTATGTCCTGTATCTAGGAGATCTTATTTGGTGTCTGTGTTTGCAGGCTAGGTCTTCGTGTTGCTGTGAAGGTGCTGAAGAGCGGGCCTGGCTTTGCCCAGGCAGGACAGGATGAACTTGCTCTCCTACGATGCGTTAGTGACCTGTTTGTGTTTTATTTGTGTGTCCCTCTCTCTATTTTTCTCCCTATCCTGTTTTACTGTTTGCCTTCCTCCCCTTCTTACTCTCACTTTTCTTCCTCCTGTTCTCCCTCTAATCAGGCTAGTGGTCCTACGAGCCGTCATCCCTCTAGTCGAAGAATTGTCCAGCTGCTAGATGAGTTCAAGCTGGCCGGGGTCAATGGGGTCCGTATCCTTTTTACAGACCGTCATTTCTTGGGCATGCATTTTAAACCTGACACGAGGGCTGAAGAGTTATCATGTGTGGAGGTGTTTGCTATGTGTGTGTGTCTAAAAGAGCCACTAAAATGCATCAATCAAATGAGACAGTTAATATCAAGTACGGCATCTACTGTAGTATCAAGTATATAAAGTATATATATATATAAAAGTAATATATCTCATAAATGTCTCCGCAAACTCTGTTTTCAGAGATGTAAAATAGCATATAGCATTCTGTTGGCTCACTGAAGACAGTATTGCATTGCATTATACAGTGAATAGTGCTAGTCAGTAGCTTGCAGACATGTAGACCTTGATGCCTGATGGTTCAGACACGTGCCTGGTGCTGGAGCTGTTGGGGCCCGACCTGAGAAGCTGGCAGCTATGCTTTGGGGATCCAGGACTGACTCAGCCTTCGGTCAAACAAATACTGACTCAGGTAAAGAACCGCTGAGACTCAAGAAATTAAAATCAAATTAAGCAGGAGAGGACCATGGAGAACTAAAATTACATTTCTGAGCACCAGTTGGAAATAATGATACTATAATTTTTAAATAAAAATCAAAGATAATTTTGTTTAGTTCGTTCTGTTGTTAAAATGGCATTAGATTTGGTGAACAGTGCATTAGAAATTGGGACTTGTCAGTCTTGACTTCCAAACAATGACTTGGTCCAGCTTCTGCTCTTTAGTTAAGATTAAATCCAGGTTCCATAAGTACATTTGTGAAAAGTTCAGGATTTTGGCAAACACATTTGCTAGCTGTTTCCTCTTTTTCCAGTCTTTATGCTAAGCTAAACGAATTGTCTGCTAATTATAGCTTTATATTTAGCATAGAGACATAGGTGGTTTCAATATTCTTATCTAACTTTTGGCAAGAAAGTGCACAAGCTTTTTTCCCCATAATTTCAAACTATTCCCTCAATGGATGAGGTTTTTATTTAGAATACAGGCAGCTGATACACATGTGGTTAGACTACAGTTTTTATGTGTTAAACCCAGAAAAAGTTAAGTACTGGTTGTTTGGAAGAAAACGGCATAACTTTCTTGTGATTTCTCTAGGTGCTGCAGGGTCTGGACTACCTTCACACTCAGTGTAAAATCATACACACAGACATCAAGCCTGAGAACATCCTGCTGTGCCTGGAGGAGCAGTCCCACAAAGTACCAGCAGGGGGCAGCAGCTCCTCCTCTGTGCTAACTCTGAAAGGGGCCAAGTCCACAGGCACAGTTGTTTTCGTTTTTTTTTTATACACACAGGGTTCATTGTGTGTGTACATGGCAGATGTACTGGAGCCAACTTGTGTGTTGATATCAGGGTTTTAATAAACGTCTCTGCTCTATAGGCCTTTATTGTAAATGGTAGGATTCAACACATTTGTTGTGCTGATATCTAAACTACAAATGTATGTATTCTAAATGTATATGTGTCAAGCAAATGCATCCTGTCCAAAGTACTAGTAATAGACAATGCTAACTCTCCAGTATTTGCATTTCTTATATAACTTTATTTCTCAAAAAAGGTGTTTTAATACATGGTTTATTGTTGTTTATTTCAGGGAAGGAGAAGGTGAACCCATACAGTTTAAAGGAAATTACAGTGAAGATTGCTGACATGGGCAGCTCCTGCTGGGTGGTCAGTAGTTGTTCTATACTTTACAGCTATTATAAAACGTTTGACATATTACACTCTCCTAGTGTTGAATTTTCAAGAGTGGTCCATCTTTACAAGGCATTTGGTCTTAAAGCCCCTGAAATATAATAAATATGAATATAAACAACAATCAAAGTTAAAGTCAGGAAAAAAAAATCAATCTATAATCAATAATCAATCTTTCACTGTGTTGTTTTTGGTCACAGTTGATGGACAGTAGTGTTTTATCCACTGTGCTCAGCACCAAACAGTAAAAACCCAAATTTATTGCACATAACACCCTGAGAAAACAGCCACAAAATTAACATTTTCTGTCTGCCACGTCTGTCTCTTTCTTGGACCAGTACAAACATTTCTGTGAGGAGATCCAGACCCGTCAGTATCGCTCACTAGAGGTTTTACTGGGATCTGAGTACGGTCCGCCTGCTGACATCTGGAGTGTCGCCTGCATGGTGAGAGAAAATCTATACAATATGATGTTTACACTGTGTGAAATATTCTAACCAAGATGAGTCTCATGAATCATTACATACACATTTCTCTTAAAATTCAACCTGATTATCTAAACTTATCTTAGGCTGCAGCAATTTGTACCACAATTAAACAAGACAGTCCACAGCCACATTAGCAGCTCAGTGAAGCTGTTCCAATAAAAACCACCAAACGTCAGGATTTGAATTCAATTGTTTAGATGTAGTTTACAACATAATTTATTATTTATAATCACTCACAGAAAATGTATTTCTTTTCAATTTCAGCATCACTTTTTGTGATTTTTGATTTTGTTGAATCAACTCATTAGAGATTGTTTTATTACTTACCAGAACAAAATTAATTGTATCTGCAAAAAACATAATTTTTTGACATTTTGGAGACCTTACATATATCTTTTCCGTATAAAATAAGCAAAAACGGGCCTGACACTGAGCCTTGAGGAACCCCCAAGTAATCTTCATAATTGTAAAGTCCTAATAAGATTGGTTTTTGATCTTTAGCAGTCGTAGTGAAGCAAATGTAATAATTGGCCAGATGGTAGTGTCAGAATAAATGTGTTTGGCAACCTATATCTGCAGGAATTATTGTGTTGTGAGCATAAAAGAGTAAAGAGATATATGTGACTGTATTGCATTCTCTATTCTTGTGAGGGTGGTGTAAGCACAACGTTCAACATGTTAATTTGGATTTATCCTCTGGAAATCATTGATGTCAATCTAGTGAATGTAGTGATATTTCACTGGATAAGTCAAAACTTTGACCTACTGGTGGAGCTAGATCCACAAGTCAGTGGGTCATCAAAGTGCTAGGGATTCATCCTCAGGTCACCACTGATATCTCTGCTAAATGTCCAGTTTACCAATTGTTGTTGAGATATTTCAGTCTGGACCAAAGTGGAGTACCAACTAACAGACCAACATTACCATCCCAAAAAAACTCTAGTCTAACCTTTATGATAACAACAAAAATTGGTGTGGTCAGTGTGGTTGGGATTGGTCCTCTAATAGATGCTTACTTGGCCACACATCTCACCCTTTAATTTTCTCTTGCGCTCTCTCAGGCCTTTGAGTTGGTCACCGGAGACTCCCTGTTCGAACCCAAAGTCGGCGAATCCATTTCCCTGGAGGAAGGTACATTCAGTACAGTGTGCTGACAATGACAGAGGCGCGACAAACACTGACACAGGATTAAATGAGATTACACTGTGGCTCCATTGTAACTGTTGATACAGTGTATGCTAGTGTGTACTAAATATGTGTGTCTCATGCTTGTGTGTGTGTTTCTTCTCTTCATCCACCTCAGACCATATAGCCCAGATCATGGAGCTGCTGGGTAAAATCCCACCAGCTGTTGCCTTGTCAGGTAAATACTCTGCAGAGTACTTCAGCCGCAGAGGTGAGCCTGCAACTTCACTTTTAATTGACGGGAGTGTGTTTGGATGTTGTACACTAGTATGATTTGGCTTTTATTGTAATTCTTCATCCAGGTGACCTGCGTCGTGTTGGTCCACTGAGGCTCTGGAGCCTCTATGACGTTCTACTGGAGAAATACCACTTCCTATTGGAGGAGGCTTCTGGATTCTCAGACTTCCTTCTTCGCATGTTGGATTATCATCCGGAGAGGAGGGCTACTGCTGCACAGTGCCTCCGCCACCCTTGGCTGACCTCATGATAGCCCCCTAAAGGCCCTGCTCAACCCATCTGCTTGATGTTTTCAGCAGCTCGATCTGGCCAATTTCAGAACGTACCAGCCACAAACTCAGTCTGTGAGATGTTAAAAATGCACAGGGTGTCTTTCGTTTTTTATACTAGATAAATCAAAAGAGTTATTTAGGAGAAAGTTTGTATTTCACTCACTTTGATTCATGAATTTCTGTGGAATGTGGTTTTGTCTTGATAGAGAATAGGATGCCCTCTCTGCTGGAGCCAGTTATGCACTTTATGCTGTTAAGGTGTTTTTTTACATAGATCTTTTCTGGCGTAGCTACTGTAAGTCTTTGGCTGCCTGACCTTTGAGTCCTATAAGTCAGTGGTTCCCAACCTTTTTCCTCAAGGGACTGCTTTTCTATCATTTAGAAAACTTATGACCCCTGACTAAGTGAATTATTTTTTGGATATTTCATATTATATTCAAAACAAAAAGATTTGGATGAATTTTGAGCAGATTATTTCCTGTTTAGGGAACTGTCTGTATTATGTATTTCATCATTATTAACAATCATACAGGCTCAATAGGCTTCTTTTTTTTTTTTTTTGACAAATTCAGTGTTTTCTTGTCCCTGATGCTTGGTCATTGTTTTATTAGACAATTTACTTTACATTTACATTTACGTTTCTTCACAGACGTGAGCCTACTGTGTATATTTTTAGAGTTTTCTTACACCTCTTAATCAAGAAGGCCTTGTGACCGCCTATGAACCCCAGGTTGGGGACCACTGCTAGAAGTAGTAGTAGCCGCATTTTTTAAAAAGATGATGACTGTCTCTTGCTACATGGACAGGCCTATATGGCTAGCCAGTATGAAGTTGTCAATTTGGTGCAAACTTTGAGTGCAGCTATTATTCAGTAAGATTGTCTGTTAGCGATTAAATCAGAGGATGATAAAAAATGTATACAGTTCATGATCTTTCACATTGTATGTCCTTAAAAGATGCTTTCTTTTTGTTTACTTTTTATACAGTGTAATGAACATCTTAAAAAATAATAAAAGCAGATTAACTGCATTGTAAATGTACAGTAAGTCACATCAAGTATTTATACAGCCCAAAAATCACAAATTGCCTAATAGGCCTTTTACATTTATACAATAGGAAAACTCCCTTTAATCATAGATATAAGCTGTTATGATTAGGGATACTTTAGCTCACAATGCTTTTTAAAAAAAAATTAAAGTGCCTCTTTCGATTCCGTGCACATTCAAACTTGTTTACTTGTTTTGTCATAGAGCCTCCTGCTGTTGTAAAAGGAGCTCCTAATCAAAACTGAACCCTGATCAGCCTCGATCAGGGTTCACTCACTCAACATGTTTCTCTGAGCTCATTTTATGGTAACAAATAGATGGATTTAAATTTCTAATCTGTTTTGTGCTAGTTTAATCGTCATGTTCCAGAGACCCCATAATTATTATTTCTCTTGCTTTTCTCATGTTTTTATTTTTTTAATCTGTATTTAAATCCATTCTCCTGCTTCCACAGGGTGACAATGATGTAATTAACACATGGAAGAGTCTTGCACTTTATTTCAAATATTTAAAGCTGCACAAATCAGTATTTTTACATTGGATCATATGACTGCATTTAATGTGAAAGTGGTCACTTATACTAACAAATGCACAGTAAATTAGTAGATGACTCTGCGGTCCCCATCAGCAGGACTGTTTTTGTTTCTTCTGGGTCATTGTTTTGCTTTTCCAGGCTGCAAACAAAACTCTCACCAGTCTTCTTTAAATATATTTGGCAGCTGTTTTCAGTAAAAAAGGTTAACCTGAACCTGTTGTACACTACCTGCCGAACAGCAAGCAGCAGGCCGACAAAGTTAGTAACGAGCAGCTGAACATTGTGGAGCATTCTTTTTCCCTTTTTCTAGTCTTTTAATCCCCTATAGAGACAGCTGAATTTAGGCAGGAAGGAATGAGCCTTGGTCCATGCATGCGCTCCACCAGGTGAGCTACCAGGGCGTCCCCTTAGTGGAGCATTCTGAGCTTATGAAGATATATGTTTGATTTGTGACAGAAACACGACTCAAAATGATTATTGATGTTGCTCTGTGCCTGCTGAATGTGTCAATAAGCAACAGTTTGCTAACAAGTAATATATATTATGTTAATGTTGTCTTTACAGCAGGTTCTGCTGCCTCCATGTGGCCAAAAAAAATTATTAATGCAAATGCTTGGTCACACACAAAACAGTGGGAAAAAAGTGCTATGTTATGTAGCTCAGACATGGACTATTTTACCAATGATAAAAAGGGCATGAACAAAAATATTTGACACATTTATTTATCAGATGCTACTTTTATTGTGGTTCCTCCTCTAAACACTTCATATTATAGAAGCTTTCTCAGTACCGTTATTTTTTGTGTTTATTATTATAACAATCACACATCAGAGTTAAGACTATGGGTAACATTTAATTTTTATTCATTTAATACTAATATTATTAATTTCTATTCCACTTCCATACACCATGCATGTACTGTATGTGACATATTTTGAATCTATAAATGTTTTCAAACATAACTTTGCTACTGTATAATGTATGTTTAATCTTTTCTGAAGCAAAGCTTTTAGGGTGTGAATTTTAGATCAGACAAATAATAATCAGACTAAATTAATGTTAAACCTCATAAAGATCACGGACCACTGTGACCTGTCTTGTACCAATTTTAATCATTACCAAAAAAAAAACCCAAAACACTCAGAAGACATAACCGCCCACCACCAACAAACAAATAATGGCGACTCTACCTTTCCTGTTTCCAGTAAGCATCAAATTATAATTTGACTTGTCCTCATTAATTCAGTAATATCATTGAGGTTATGCTGTCCAAAACCAAAGTTTGACAAGTATATATACACAGTATGTACTATGTAGATCATACAGTATCTACATATTTAAAATAGTCCAGTTTGTCAGCCTATCCAGCTGTAGGCTTGGCACTCCACCTGTGGGTTTTCTTTATAAACGACTGTATAACCGCATTCTGTCCTGATCCGACGACACTTCTTGGGCCAGGAAGTGGGCTTCATTGGCCTGGAAGAATGGAGAAGAGACATGGTTGAAGAGAACAGTAATCAGCCTCTGTGACAGAATCCCCATAGGCGAGGCATTATATAATTGAAATAAATTATATGACCTAAAGTGAATAATCTATACTCACGTGAAGCAGTAGGCATCAAAGTCATGACAGAAGCACTTGTCACAGCCTCTCCGAAAAGAATCTCCTGGTTTGTAGAACTTGTCTTTATAAGAACAGATTCCTGTGGAGGAAATGAGCACCACAGTGACATTTTGAAACTTTTCTTTCTTTTCTTTTCCTGTTCCAGATGTGACCCTGCCAGGTGAAAATATACATATTTTACCTGGAGGTTACATCAAAACTTTGCAGATTCTATAAATGTTTGCCCTTAAGGCAGAGTACAAAAGGGCCTGCTGCAAGAGGTCAGGCTAAATCTAGCGTTCACAGTGAATTATCCTCCCATTCCTGCAGGCTGCGGGAGCTATCCTCATGGGGTATGTCAGTCACCTTGAGGAAGGGATCAATAGGAACACACTGATCTGCTGTGAAGAGCCCCACAGGGCTAAATGCAAGGTCAGGGTATAGAGGACGTGGTTCGCGGTCAGCCGGTTGGGGTTGGTTTAATGGCTAGAGGTACCATAAGTCACAATGCAAGTGTTCAGTTTTGCTCCACAAGCAGAAAGTAGCAACCCCGGGAGTGGGCTCAGGCATACAAACACATGATTTTGAGTAATAATCCTATGTGGAAACAGAAGTAGTTCTTACCTTTTATGTGGTATATGGAGGCTTCTGAGCATCCGCTGCTAAAGAGAAGGATGAGGGACAAGCAGACAGCAAACACAAGCGATAGAGGGCATCCGTGAATGTTATTTATTGAGTGTAACATTGTAGAGAAGAAAATTATAAACTCCTTCAACCTTTTTTTAACTAATAACTCTCAATTAAAAAGATTGCTAGTTTTGCTAGTTTAAATCTTAGGTGACCGTCCAGTTAAATCCAGTAAGGTCTTGTGATGGCCCAGTAGACACTGGCTAATATTTATAGTCTCACATCTCTACTGGGCAGGGAGAGAGAAAAAAAGCATCTCCACATGTTTAGTTCCTTGGTTTCTTCGCAGTGTCCAACTTTTGTTTCAGAGCGAGGTGTGTTTGGAGTTTAGCTGTGTACCCATGCGTCCCTAAATATTACCTTTGGCGCTCGCTTGTTCATGAGGCTGCGTGGGTGACCGAGGACAGCGGTCGATTGGTTCATCCATGGCCTCTAACCAGCATTACTTTTTCAGGTTGTTTACCATGTACTCTCATTTTATCTTTCTCTTTAATGTAAACATTTCCCCTGCCCCCTTTTTCTCTCAACCCCCACCACCTCTTGACACACACACAGATGCTGACTATTAAATCTAAACCTATTTTTATGACTGCTGACATTGTCAAAAACAACATCTCTTTGTGCTGACATTGTCCCTTGTGTGAAGGGAATTGGTTCAAGCCAAATGATTACAAAACTGCATTCTGAAACATCAAAAATGCATGACAAATATTGCAAACTCTATCTAAAGAACTGAAAGGGGTGTCATGGTTTGCACGGGACATTCTGTGCTTTTAACTGTTTACATATGCTGCAGTACATATAGCATGAAGTAAAGACCACAAAATTGCCAAGAAAGTATTTCTGATATTTTTTTGCTGTATACATTTCCTACATGTAGTCTGACATCTGGAAAAATGTCTCAAATATTTGAGGCCAAGGTCAGGAAGTTGCCAGTTGGGAGTTACATGTATATAGTGTTATGTCAAATATGTAGAGGAAAACTGTAGTATCTCTCTGAGTCTCTCACACACACATACAGGCGGTTTTCACTGGATGTGTAACTGACCGCAGGACAGTTTGTGGTCAGTCTCTTCCTTCCTGACAGCCTCTGGCCAGCGACCAGTCGACACACCATGCTCTGACAAAAGAGAAAACAAACAGGACATCAAGGGACTGGAAGGAACTTGTGGTGGCCGAGGGGCTCCTGCTAGAAACCACCACTGTCTCCACGTCAACCCTTTAGTCACACAGGAACACTTTCAGGGTGTCCGGTGGCTCAGTGGTTAGTGGTGGCTCACACAGCAAGAAGCTCCTGTGTTTTGAACACACTGCTGGACGTTGCATGCTCTTTCTGTGTCTGTATCTGGTTTTCCACCACAGGAAACAAATATTAAATGAAAATGGAGATTTTAAAACTTTAGGTGTGACCAGTATCCTAGAAATTACGTCCATGTTGAAGGAGAGCTGACATCTTGATTTATGTCCAATGCAAACATTCAGTGATACACTGTAGTGGAGGGTGTGGCTGACTGGAGTTTGCGTCCTGTCACAGACCCACAATTAAAGTGCACCTTTTCATTAACTGTAACCACAAACTGTCCCTA